CACGCAGTCACCAGTGCATTAGCCCTTCAGGTCCCAAGTACTGTCCCAGGGCCCAGATGGTACAATTCCGGTTCAACGCCTGCTAACCTTAGTTATTTGCCTTACCGCTTCTGATCAGCTGTTTGTTTTTGGATCCTTCGTTCCTCAATTAGTCTCCTTCTTACATAAGCACAGCCAGACTGCATCAAACCAAAGGTCCATGTAGCCCAGTGTCCTGTCTTCTGACAGTGGCCAATGTCAGGGGCCGCCAGGGAATCATCATATGATCCCTCCTCTGTTGGCCCTTCCCAGCTTCTGCTGGGAAGGAGAGGCTAGGGATACCATTCCTACCCATCCTGGTTGATAGCCATTGATGGACCTATTTTCCATGAATTTATTTAGCTCTTTCTTGAACCCGGTTGTAGTCTTGGACTTCACCACATCCTCTGGCAAGGAGTTCCACAGGTTAACTCTGCGCCACGTGAAGAAAAACTTCTTGTTGCTTGTTTTAAACCTGCTACCTATTCCTTTCACAACATCCTTTGGCAAGGAGTTCCACAGGTTATTAATATGTCCCATCTAGAGACCCTAACCAAGATCGAGGCCCCATTCTGCTAGTCCAAACACACAGTAGGAGACAACCCCTGACCCAAAGGGCTTGGGGTCTAAGGAACCGAAACATGCTCATGGTGAGGGCTTTTGTTTTAAAAAGTGGACTCATTCCAGCTACCTGTTGGATGTTGCCAATCTGTTTGGGGGCATCCATACAAGTCGCAGGTGTCGCTAAACTTTGTTCTTTCCAAGGGTCGCCTCTGCCAGCCTCGCAGACAGGCGTGCAGGGAAACAAAATGGAATCCAAGGATAAGAGAGCAGAAGAATGGGGTGGTAGATGATGACAAAGAAGCATATTTAATTGTATCTCTGTTTACAAAGCAGAGCGCTACGCATGCCGACATAGCATATGCTTTTAAATCAAGCTCCGTGTTCTTGTTTAATTCGAGCCCATTAATATGTGTGAGCAGCGTTGCTTTTAGCTTTCCTGTTTCTATAAAGCAGCTCTCTTGCAATTGTATTGCGAGTCAGTGGGTTTGTTGTTGTTTTAGCTCCAGCAGCCATCACGGTATTTTTTGTTTTTTGCTTCACAACTCTTGGCCCCTCCCTTTTTTTTCTCAACAAACTTTTTCCTGGCATGTTTTTGTTGTTGTTGTTGTTCGGTATTTTTCCTGAAACCATCTGGCAACCCTCATGTCTTATGCGAGCCAAGGGAATAAGATACATTCTGAGACAAACGCAAACTAAAAAGTGACCATTCCTGCCTCTCAGAATCCCTTCTCTGCGCCTCCCAGCTGGAAAGGTTTTGCTTTTTTTTTTTTTTCTGGAAAGCTCTCTTTGCAAAGAGTGATACCAGCTTCGCCTGCACGCAGGGCAGGATTAAGACCTTTAGAAGCCCTAAGCACTGAAAGGCTTATGGTGCCGCCCCATATGTAATTCAAAATAAAAACAATACTACACCGTAAAATAAATTTTTATTTTTCGAAATGACACAAAACTTACATGTCTGCTGAAATGAAAATAGCTTCTTTCTAGATTTTCTGATTGCAAAATTCTGGATAAGTTCATTGACGCTGACTCGACGAAGCACGTCCGCTTCCATACACAATAGGGAAAGCGAATCAACTCTGTCCTGACACGTAGTTCTCTGAGGTTTTTTTATTATTTCAGCTGATAAAAAGAGGGCTCTGCAGAGTTCTGATTTTTCCCATGATGACGACTTCGATGCTTTTTTTGAACTATCAAATTTAAAAAAAACCCCTCTTTTTTTTGGTGCCCCTGTTTGGCTGGCGCCCTAAGCACGTGCTTAGTCTGCCTATTTGGGTAATCCAGCCCTGCCTGCACACCTGACTTTCCAAGTGCTGAGGGGAAACATAAGGACACAACGGTGTACTTTCCCCCTGTTGAAAGAGTCTTAACAATGAAGAGCAGAAATGTAGCATGAAGAGAAGGACAAAATGCTATTCCAAAAGGCGCTGTGTTAAAGCCACAACTGTGGCGTACGCCCGAAATGCAGGCGGTCTTCGCATCTTTGCTCAGAGAGAGGGGCGATCCTTTTCCACAAGGCCGATGTCAGGGAAAAGCAAAGACTTTTCTGTGTCCTTTTTGGTTGTTGTGCATTTTGAGAAACGAACATTTTCTCTGGCCTGAACCATCCTGAAATGACTGCATGTGGACACCGTTATGCCAATTTTAACATCTTTAAACCAGCTAAATAAACTGGGAATAAACTATACTGCTCTAAAAGTTTCCGAGGGGTAGCCGTGTTAGTCTGTAACTGGGAAAACTTAAAAACACGCACCTAGCAGCTCCTTAGAGACTAACAAAAAATGTCGGTGGTATCATGAGCTTTCATGGGCACAACCCACTTCTACAGATCAATGGAGTTTAAGGGGTCGGTCCTTAAATAAATAACCTCTCTGTGCTACCTATTTGAAACCTGGTCCAACGCCTTCAACTCCAGTCATCTGAAGAGGTGGGCTGTGCCCACGAAAGCTCATGATACCACCGACATTTTTTGTTAGTCTCTAAGGTGCTGGGAGGCTATTTGTTGTTTTTTATACCGATATAAGTGTACCTCCTTCCACACTACAGGGGGTTTATTGCTTTAACGATGCTGATATAATTAAAGTGTGTATAGAATCATAGAATCATAGAATACTAGGACTGGAAGGGACCTCGAGAGGTCATCGAGTTCAGTCCCCTGCCCTCATGGCAGGACCAGCTGAATGTTTAAACTGATGCTAATGAGTACTCAATGAATCTGCAAAACCCATTCAATTTTTCTTCAGTGGTCTCTGATGGCACTTATTTTAGCATCATAGTTATAATGCTATGATTAAGGCCAAAAATCCAGCGTCTGGGAACATTATAAATATCTAGTAGCAAAACTCTACCGTCAACACTTCTGAACATGCCAGGCCTTAGTGGCTGCCTCAATTTACGACATACTTGTCCACTGATAACATTGACTCATACTGGCCACTCAAAATCAGTATATGGATTGGAAAACTTTGGCCTTGACAGGTTTACCTATAAGATATAGTAAGAGAGTTTGTTGGGAATACCAGGCCCCTTTTCTAATCACTAGACTCCTAGATTCTGTTTTGCCCCTAAATCACTGTGTGACCAACTTACTTATACTGACATTTTCAAAAATGGCCTCTGATTTTGGATCCTTCTGGAACGGGCTTTCAGAGGTATAGGGCACCCTGTGAATTACAGCACTTGAGTCGCCAACACTTATGGGGCTTAATATTTGCAAAGGGCACTGAGATCCATGGATGGAAGTGAATAAATATGAAAGTGCCATCATTAATTAAATAGTTGGACCAGAGACCAAGTGAAAATGATTCTCTAAACAAGTGGTTAGGGCACTCACTTGAGCAGTGTGAAATCCCTACTTTTCATCATGCGATGGGGTGAGGGGTGGAAGGGGGTTGAACTATAGTCTTCCACATTCCAGGGTATACTCTAATCCAGGGCTGGGCAAGATGCACCCACCTAACACTTTGATCCAGCTTGCAGATGGCATCTGGCTGCTTTCAATTTATATCCTGCTGCCCATGCCACTGAATTTCCAGGCAGTGGCTCAGGCAGCAGGATGCTATTTAAATGGCTCATGACAGCTCTCACTTGTGGTGCTACTCCAGCAGAGGCTGGAGCAATGTTAAAGTGATTTGTTACGAGATATTTTGGACACAGAAATACTGCCAATGCAATATCTGAACTTAATCAAATTAGTAAATATCTCCTCCTCATGTTCATTTTTATAGATTAGAAGACTGTATTTATATTTTTCTCATATGAAATTGATATACATTCCAAGCTAAATATTATATTGCATTACTTTCTCATCTAGATAAAGGGGAGCTCTTTGTGCCTACTTCCAGTTATTTCGAGATTGTCTACCTGAACCCAGATAAACCAGCAGTAATCCCTTGCAGAGTGACCATCCCATCAGCAAAAGTAACTCTGCACAGAGAGTTTCCAGCCCCTGACCACGTACCGAAATTCATTAAGTGGCCCCCTGATGAAAATTATTGCCCACCCCGGTATAGACCATAAACATCATGAGATTTACCACCTCCCCTCACAATGGTTGGGATCAGTTTATTTGTCTTGTGTGTTTCTTAACTTTTAGGCCTCACATTTTTGAACCTTTCTCTGTAATTATGAGGGCTTAAAAAAAAGAAGAAGACGGTGATGGCAGGGTCTTAACTTTTAGGCCTCACATTTTTTAACCTTTTTCTGTAATTATGAGGGCTTAAAAAAAGAAGAAGACGGTGATGGCAGGAAAATCTCATGACTCCAGGAGCTGGGTATTTTTGGAAACTCACCAAATCTCTCAAGACGCATAATTAAATCAGGAGACGTGCGTGAATCCATGATGTTGTGAATGTTTGACTGTAGCTCCTTGCTTCTTCGCGTTCCGCTGGTCTCTGTCGGGATTGGGATGGCATTATGCTTGGTGCTGTACAAACATCTAGGAAGATAAGTGGTTACAGTTTTAGCAGTGGCAGCGCAGCTAAGCCAACACTAAAGGTACGTCTGGACTGTGTTCCTCTTTCGAAAAAGGAATACAGGCTAGACGCACCTTAACTGTGTTTGAGAATCTCACATTGTGCTGCTAATTGGAGCCAGGTGAAAAGGGCATCTTTTGGCGCATTGGCAACTCTGAAAATGAAGAAAAAATCATTTACGATTGAATTGAAAAGAAAGTTTTTGGTGTGTTGAAAAGTTGAAAAAAATCACATGGTGGGAACACAATGTTTCATTTTTATTGCACGCACTTTAACATGTTTCAACTGTAAAAAAAAAATACAAGGAACGGAAATTTTGAAATGTCTTTGGAATTGTTTTTAATAGGTTTTGGTTCTGAATGAGAAAAATGCGGCAGCATTGCCGCGGGTTCGTGAAATGTTTCGGTGTCCCTGAATCTACACTGGTTTGGTTTTGTTTTTAAACAGAGAGCTGACGAAGAGGCGGTTGTGGATCAAGGCGGGACCAGTAATGTTGTTAATATTCATTATGAAAAAGAAGAGCTGGAAGGTAAGGCTCCGAGCTGCTTCTGAGAACTAGAGTTGTTGCTTTTCTTGGACATCATTCATTTCTAGCTGGATGGTGCTTCGTGGTTAATAAGAATTAAGATAGATGAAGTCTGGTCATAACACAACTTCCATCAGTCCCTTTGTGACTGGATTGTCCTTCCCCCTCCGGAGTGCTGTTGTTTACTTTTCCTTGCATACCGGAGGCCTCGTGTTCCGTTGGGCAGCCCTTTTGCACTAGTGCAAAGTATGGTGTAAATGGTGACCATTTAGGCGTGGCAGTATTTTACCCCTCACCGGTGTAAATACCAGCAGGAGGGGCAGAGCCACCGAGAATCAGGCCCTGTGAGCACTGCTGAGCTGTGTCAGGCTAATTCTGTAGCGTTACGTTTTGGTGCCAGTCGCCACACACAGTGGCACAAAGAGCCATTGTGCACGTTCACAGTGGTCTGGCAGTGCAAAGGGGCGTGAAGGCACAGGAGCGGGAGGCCTATTCACGGGTCCCACGGTGGCAAGAAGCGGCGGAAAAGCGAGAGCAGACGGGCAGTGTGGGGGGTAGGCAGTGGCTTATCACCGGACAGACGTCACTGGACAAGCTATCCCTGGAGAAAACGTTCTCATAGCCTGGTCCATCCCTCTGTGCAAAACCGTTAGGGGGCGTGTCTGTCTCGGTTCGTGACTCACTACTGCGGCGCCTCCTGCTGGTCATGCTGGGAATGAGCCCAGCCTCACAGCGCCCTCTGCTGGCGGTGTCTCGCCTGCTGTTACCTACCTTTTTGTCCGTTCTCCACCGCTCGCCCCTTCCAGACTGAGGCGCCCTTCCCTCTGGGTGCTGCCCAGCCGTAGCACCCACACTCCGAGGTCCTCCCCTCCCAGGGAACCCCCATTATCTCTAAGCCACCATCTTAGAGATGGCCCACTGCTGTTCGTCCCCTAGCCCCTTCCCTCAGGGGCAAGCTGCAGTCTGAACTGGCTGTTTCATCGTGGGCCAGGGGGACGGGACCTGCTGCCTGTTCCTACCCTGGCTGCTCCTCTGTACCCCGAGTATCTCCCTGAGCCCCTTTTGCTGGGCCTCAGCCTGGGGCTTATTCAGGCCCGAGCACCCCGGCTCCCCACTTTTCCCCAGCACTGCTTTGTCCAAGGTGCCCTTGCTAGGAGGCAGCTAGGCCCCTCTCCCTCCAGAGCTGGAGCAAGAATGTGCCGCCATTTTGCCAGCCATCTTTTTATACAGCCCTGCCGGGCTCTGATTGGCTGCCTCAAGCCCTCTCCCGATTGGCTCCCAGCCTCAGTCCTCTCCCAGGGCTTTTTTAACCCTTTCCATTCCAGTGCAGGGCAACTGCCCCATCACTGGGTCTTTCTGAGGGAAGCTCCCACAGGAGCGACACAAACGGGAATTTCAGTAGGTTTACCCCAACTTTAGAGGGTGTGTCTAGACTACAGGGTTTTGTTGACAAAAGTGGACTGCGTCTAGACTACCGCCAAGTTCTGTCGACAGAACGCGGCAGTTTTGTCGACGGCGGTAAACCTCATTCTACGAGGAATAACGCCTTTTGTCGACAGAGTTCTGTGGACAGAACGCGGCAGTTTTGTCGATGGCGGTAAACCTCATTCTACGAGGAATAACGCCTTTTGTCGACAGAGTTCTGTGGACAGAAGACGTTATGGCATCTACACTGTCCTTTGCCTCTATACTCTCATGTCGACAAAGCGGCTTGCTTTGTCGACAGAACTGGATGTCGTCTAGACGCTCTTTGCCGACAGAATCTGCCAACAAAGCCTCTGTCGACAAAAGCCTGTAGTCTAGACATACCCTAGGTGACGCAAGGCTAAGAGTAACTCCCACACTGAGCATGGTTCACTGTCCCATGCTGTGGCACCTAGACCACAGCCACAGATAAGCTCAAGAGACCTCTACAGGATGGCTTCGGAGCTAGCTGGCTTTTAGCTCAAAGGGTAGAGGTTCCTATACTAAGCTCTAAAGGTTCCAGGTTCAAATCTGTCTCCGGGTGGTTATACAGAAGTCATAGGTTCAAATATGCCTCCTGGCAGTTATATAAGCATGACAGCTCCTAGTTGGGCTGACGGCCCAATCTTGTCGTTAGCTTTTAATTCTTACGTTTAGTTTGGAAGCACACAGGGACCAGCTGCAACCCCTTGGTGCTAGCGCTGGGGGAACATGGAGCGGTACCCAGACCTTGCCTTGCAGAGCAGAGCCGGGCTGAGGAGAGGAGAAGAGAAGAGGCAGAGGAACAGGCTGCATTGGCACTTCAATGAAGTCGCTACGGCGCTGACAGGAGTTTGTCGGTCAGGGCTGGGCAAGATGCAGCCCAGGGAGGGATCCGGCCCATCTGATGCATGGATCCGGCCCCCAGCCTGTATCAGGATCCTATTTAAACGGCTCCCGGTCGCGGTGCTCCCCTGGCTGCAAGCTTTTTAAATAGCCGCAGCAACCCCGGACTGTGTTTTTTAATTCAAAGCCTCTGGCCCCACACAACTCTGGAATTCCAAACCTCTCGCACATTTCGGTTCTGTTCAAGCCACAGAAATACACCAGACGGGCGTTTTTCTGCAACACGCTTGGCCTAAAAATGTTTACCCTGCCCTGGTTTCAGCGATGATACAAGACACAGGGTGTGACGGCGTGTTGGGGGGGAGGACTGACCCTGCACCCCATCCACAGCCGGAGGTGAGACTCATCCAACCAGTAGAGTAGAAGGGTTATTGGTTCACAGGGACACAGCGTAGCTTAGGAGCGATGTTAGCACAGGCACCTAGAGCAGGCAGCCTTATTCCTCTTGGGGGAATTATTCCTCTTGGACCCTTCACCCCCCCCCCATCCCTGCTCTAAGCCTCCGCAGAGACTGCCCCACACTCACAGCCACTGCTCACCGGCCCCAGGCAGCCCTGCCTCCTGGTTTGTCCTGCTTCCAGGGCCATCTGCTGTCACCTGGGCCTCAGGACATGAGAGACTGAACGTACGTCCCCAGTTGGTCATGCCCAGCCTCCCCCTCCTCATGCCGCTAGTGCTGCAGGGCCTGGGGAAACTGAGGCACACACACACAGTGTCACTTCAGAGCCGCACAGGACAGTAGGATCACATATCACGCCACAAGACAATCGGTGAATGCAACACCAGGGCGAACACAGGACTACAAAAACAAACCGCACCCCCACTACATCACACAGGGCAATATCGAACCAGTCCTTTCCATTTTTGGTTCCAGTCTCTCTCCCGGCTTGGACAGATTTCAAACCCAGGGGAGGGGCCGTCATGATCATCAAGTCTGACAGTGTCCGTCCCAGGGCCCAAAAAAATCTCATTACATTTCAGGTTCATCCCGACAAAATGGGCTGAAAGTAGTAATAAGCGAGGCGGCCGGTATTTTCCCCACAAACGCATATAAACAAAAGAACAAAATAATGCCAGCGAAACAACATTAGCTGGCACAGACAGGTTGGATGACTCATCACCGTATTTTTAGTCCAGCAGGTAAAAAACCCAGCGTTGAAAGGCCACTAGAATAATTTGAATGCTGAAGGTGTCTGGCTGGGATTTGTCTAATGCAGTTCATTAGCAGATTGGCTCTGTCTCCTCCCATGTTAGGCCTTCTGCAAGCTTTTAAAATAATTACCTTCCGCCTCTGCTTGATGAACTGTTGGGAACGTGATCCCGTTAAAATAAATTGCAAAGGGGGTTGATTCCTTCCTATGGGCTTTTCAACGCAAGCAGCTGTCTTGGTTTTGAAGCTTGGTAAGAATAAACTAAGCCAGAGACGTCAGCTCTAAAAGCGAACAAGCTCACGACCCCTAAGAGGTGCTGTGCAAAGCGGCGCCTCGGTCGATAGCTGATGGACTCGGTTGAGAGAATATGGACTGAGTTCTTGTCTACATGAGGAAGTTGCCCTAGTTTTACTTGAATCCGTGTTTGCGCCGGTGTGGTTAACTCAATGCAAACCTCATTGATTTAGAAGCTGCTTATTTCTGTTGAGTTCGAACTTGTTTCCAGTGGGCAGTTTCAATCCTTCATGCTACACTTTTCTCTGCTAGGTTGAAGAGACTACAGGCAGTCCCCGGGGTACATGGATCCGACTTACATCGGATCCCTACTTACAAACGGGGTGAGGCAACCCCGCACTAGCTGCTTTTCCCCCTAGCAGACCAGGGAGACGTGGAGCGGCTTTTCTCAGCAGACACCTCAGCTTGAGAATAAAGGACGGAGGGAAGTGAGGGGTGGGAGAATAAAACTGAGCTCTGGAGAAATGTTGGGCTAGAGTTTCCCCTACAATATGTACCAGTTCCGACTTACATACAAATTCAACTTAAGAACAAACCTACAGTCCCTATCTTGTACGTAACCCGGGGACTGCCTGTATTATTAAATATTAGTTCCCCAGGTAAGTCATCCCTTAACCTTCTCTGGGTTAAGACAAATAGAATGAGCTCTTTAAGTCTTATCACCATAAGACTAGTTTTCTACAGGTTCACCCTCTCTAGTCCGGCACCCTTGGGACCTCTCCGGTGCCGACTCAGAGAATTTGCCAAAACATGGGAGGTCGATATTGTCTAGCAGCATTACCAACACTGCCTCTGCTTGCTGGGCTCAGAGAAGACATGGAGGGGTAAATTAGAGCTAAGTAACAGCACCGAACACTGAGGATACATCTACACTGTGGCATTTGCCTCAAGAGCCTATGCAAATGAAGCATGGATTAGCATATCACCACACTTCAGTTGCATAATTTGTTCAAGCCGGCTTTTGCGCAAGGGGTTTTTGTGCAAGAACAAGCAGTATGGACGGGTTTTTTTGCGCAACCCCCCTGTTTTACACAAGATCCTTATGCCTCTCCCGGAGTTTTTGCACAAAACCTGAGGTTTTTGCACAAAATACCCTGTCTTACTGCTTGTTTTTGTGCAAAAACCCCTTGCGCAAAAAAAAAAAAGCTTGAATAAATTATGCAAATGAAGCATGTGATCTGCTAATCCACCCTTCATGTGTATAGGCTCTTGTGGCAAACACCGCAGTGTAGATGAAGCCTGAAGAGCCAGGACTGGGGGCTTTAAACAAACTTTATGGGACTGCGGAAAACTCGGCTAAACCCACAATAAGTGGACACCCGGCAAACTAAAATCATGCCGGACCATGGATGTTCCCAGACCAGACAGTGCTGGATTAGAGAGGTTCAAGCTGTGGTGATTCTCATGGTTCTGAACTCTCCAATTTATCAACATCCGGGTCAGACCTGGGCTGAGTACAGAGGTCTCAAATCTCTGCCTACTTGAGATTCCCACTCCAGTGTCTCCAGGGAGATACGGTTTTAGTGTCTCATGCTTCTGTTCTACCTCATCAGCTGGGCTCCCTGGCAGACTCCATCTCCCATGATGCACAGTGTTCTGCCCTCTGACTGCACAGAATGGTGCAAGTGCATCATGGGAAATGTAGTCAGACTGGGATGCCTGACCTAGATAGGTGAATGAGACTCGTAAATTGAACCCCGAGGGCAGCTCCGGCTGGCGCCGGTACTGCTGGCCGTCGTGAGGAGTAAGGGAAGCCAATGGGAGTGTTTGTTCCCATCAGCCTCCTTCTGTGAAGACTTTTAGGTAGCTGGAGCTGCAGCCCTTAAGCCGACCTTCCAGATCTAGTGTAAACCTGGCCTCCATGACGAATGTGGATAAGGTTGCCAGGTGTCCGGTACTGAACTGGACCGTCCGGTATTTTCACCTCCTGTCCGGTAAAAAAAATTCAGAAAATACCGGGCACCAAAAATGTCCACTACTTTCTGATTTTTTCCCAGCCAGGAAGCAAAAATTCCGGGCTGTCGGGCTCAATACGGAGGTAGCCTGGCAACCCTAGCGCTTACCAGGATCCGCAGGGGAGCTGCCCAGCCTAGTGCAGGGAGGCAAGATGGCGGGTGGCTGCCGGCAGCCTGTTGGGGCCAAAAAACCTCATCACACAGTTTTAAAGGGGCCATGGTTTTGCTTATCAACTTTAGGGTCTGTTTTTTTTTCCCTCAACACACTTTTTCCTGGTGTGTTTTTGTGGTTCGGTTTTTTCTGAAACCATCTGGCACCCCTAAATGCGGAACTGATGTGGAACAAAATGTTTCCCGTTAAAACTGTCCTGAAAGTTTTTGGTTCATGAAAACTTTGGGTGTTTCACTTTTCCTTTCCGGATTTGGGATGAAAACAGAGGGGCTGTGTCTAGACTGGCCAGTTTTTCCAGCAAATCAGCCGCTTTTCCAGAAAAACTTGCCAGTTGTCTACACTGGCCGCTTGAATTTCCGCAAAAGCACTGACTTCCTACTGTCTGAAATCAGTGCTTCTTGTGGAAATACTATTCTGCTCCCGTTCAGGCAACAGTCCCTTTTGCACAAAGCTTTTGCGGAAAAGCGTCCGTCCCAATCTAGACGCGCTTTTCTTCAAAAAAGCCCCGATGGCGAAAATGGCAAAGTGCTTTTGCGGAAAAGTGTCCGTCCCAATCTAGACGCTCTGTTCCGAAAATGCTTTTAATGGAAAACTTTTCCGTTAAAAGCATTTCCGGAAAATCATGCCAGTCTAGATGTAGCCAGGCTGAAATATCGATCGGCATGTCTACCTGGCAGGAGAAACTGAGTTTTCGCTCACCTCCATCATCATACGACCTCAGTGGCTTTTTTTTTTTTTTTTTTTTTACTGATTTTGAACATGGTGAGCTCCGTGAGCAGCACCGTGATACCCTGGGCGCTGTTCCTCCTTCCAGGCCCTGTGATGCTGACAGGGACACAAGCTAACATCCCTCACTTTGTTGCAGGGCACAGGACACTCTATGTGGGGGTACGGATGCCTTTGGTGAGACAAGGCCACAGACATCACCGGACCCATGGCCAACGACACAGGAAACGAGACCGGGCGAAGGGAGCCATTCAGGAAGAAGAGGCGGAGTCTCATGGTACATAAAACCCCAGGCTGATGGGTGAGGGCAGGCCGGGCGATACACAACGGTCTGGAGCTCCTGGCTAACTCTGGCACTACTGTGATAGTGGCACCGGCTGGAGCCCTGTGGCTTTTAAATTGCTGTTGGAGTGCCGCGCAGCATGCTCCTGGCAGCACTGAGGGCTGTGGGAGGCGGTGCCTGATTCCAGTCCCACCCCTTCTGAGATCCCGCCCCTTCCAGGGCATGGAGCAGGCCCCCCTCCCGTCCTGCCCAGGGTCTGTTGGACCTGCCGTGTGATGAGAACATGGCGTTCATTTAATGCCGGAAGCATAATTTAGGTCGTTAACGTGGGGAAGGGGGCAAAAGGAGCAGCTGTCCTGGGGCCCGGCAATTTCAAAGGGCCCAGGGTTCCTGGCTGAGGGGCAGAAGGGCTGGCTGTGGGAGGCTAGCCCCCAACCCCACTTCTGCCCAAGGGCCAGGCCCCTCTGGGGGCCGAAACCACCCCTCCCCCACACTTTGCCTGGGGCCCAGCCAAGTCTGTCAGCCGTCCTGTGTGTAAGTAAATGGGCACAAATATTTTGGTTATGGGTCTTTGATTCCAGGGCCAGAAGGGACCATTATAATGCAACTTTTTACCCATCGAAATGCACCGTTTATCACTTTCTAATTTCCTGAGGGGTGCTTGACTCCCACCTACCCCAGGGCCCGCCCCCACATCACCCCTTCTCCCCAGGCCTCACTCTGCCCTGCCTCTTTCCACAAAAGGACTGACTGCCTGAGGCCCCGCCCCTTTGCCCAAAGCCCCGCCCCTTCTGTCCGAAACTCCGCCCCTTCCCGGGGCATGGAACCGGCCTTCCCCCATCTTGCTGCTGGGTCTGTGGTGGCTATTGGCCCCGCTGGTTGAGGGGGAGTGGGAGGATCTGATAGGTGAGGTTTCCGGTGGGTGCTCGACACCCACAATTTTTTTGTATGGGGGCTCCTGGAGCCCCCACCCTGTCGGTGTCTGTGAATTTGATATTTGGCTTGTGACGCAGGGGTGAGTTTGAAACCAAGTGCCGTTGCCCCGGTGTTCCTATTAGAGGCCCCTAGCGCTGAGCAACCTCTTCCTTTCCAACGGGGCGTTTTTGTAAAAAACGGTCTAACATGGTCGTACTCTTCTGCTCTTTGCTCATCAGACACCCCGTCTCAGCGCGTCCAGTTCATCCTGGGCACGGAGGAGGACGAGGAGCACGTTCCCCACGACCTGTTCACGGAGCTGGATGAGATCTGCATGAAAGAAGGGGAGGACGCAGAGTGGAAGGAAACGGCGAGGTGAAACGACGCTATAAACTCCCTCCCCCCCATGAAACTGCACGTGTTCCCCACCATTCGAGTATTTGGTACCATTTCGTTGACCTTTTACCCAACGGCGCCACCTGCTGGGAGAAGAGATGCTGTTGCTAGACAGGGCTTTCCTAGGCGGGCGTTTCCAGAGTGTGGCTCGGTAAAGCAAGGAGGGAGGAAGAGATGAAGCAGGCCCATATATAGGAGCGCTCTTCTATTTCTTTATGGGCCTGCTGTGTGACAAAGTCCGTTCTTTGTTCATCAGAGGGACGTAGGCTCCTGGCTGTCCACCAGAAGGCCCAGGGTTCTCAGTGCGTCCAGTTCATCAAGAGACGTGATTATTCTCCTTTATTTGGCACTGGTGAGGCCACAACTGGACTATGGTGTCCAGTTCTGGGCCCCCCATTACACAAAAGATGTGGACGCACTGGAGAGGGTCCAGCGAAGGCAACCAAAATGGTTCGGGGGCTGGAGCACATGACCGACGAGGAGAGGCTGAGGGATTTGGGCTTGTTGAGTCTGCAGAAGAGAAGAGTGAGGGGGGATTTGAGAGCAGCCTGCAACTCCCTGAAGGGGGGTTCCAAAGAGGATGGAGAGAGGCTGATCTCAGGGGGGCCAGGGGGCAGACCGAGGAGCAATGGGCTCAAGTTGCAGTGGGGGAGGTCTAGGTTGGATATTAGGACAAACTATTTCCCTAGGCGGGTGGGGAAGCCCTGGGCTGGTTTCCCTAGGGAGGGGGTGGAATCTCCATCCCTAGAGGTGTTTAAGTTGACAAAGCCCTGGCTGGGTTGATTGAGTCGGGATTGGTCCTGGTTTGGGCAGGGGGCTGGACTCGATAACTCCTGAGGTCTCTGCTTCCCCTGGGATTCTATGATTCTGTGAGATGGAAAATAGTTCCTTCCACACGTTATTGAAGCGGGAGGGAACGTTTTTATCAGCAGCTTCAACGCCATGCGAAAAGCACACTGTGCTCTTGGCCCCTTTCCTTTGAACCCTTCCTTGGGCGACCCAACGTCTCTTGTGTAGACTTGCGTAGGAGTCTCTTCCCTGGACCTGGTTGCTGCGCAGCCTGATTGGTGTTGGTTTGCAATGCTCCCAGGTGGCTGAAGTTTGAAGAGGACGTGGAGGACGGGGGAGAACGCTGGAGCAAACCCTACGTCGCAACGCTTTCGCTGCACAGCCTCTTTGAACTGAGGAGTTGCATCATGAATGGGACCGTCCTTCTGGATATGTGCGCCAACAGCATCGAGGAAATTGCAGGTACAGCTTGAACCTCTCTCGTCCGGCACCCTCGGGACCGGACTGGAGCCAAGCCAGAGAATTTGCTGGGCGATGGAAAGTCAAGATTGGTTAGCAATACAGTCTGGGGGCTGAAAACAAACTTTATGGGGCTGCGGGAAACTTGGCCACACCTATGATAAGGGGACATCTGGATTATTAAAATCTTGCTGGACCACGGAGGTTGCTGGAGCAGAGAGTGCTGGATTAAATGAGTACTGTGTACAGATGTGGTCTTCTCACCTTTAAAAAGATATTTTGGCTTGGAAAGGGTTCAGAAAAGGGCAACTAAAATGATCAGCGGTATGGAAGAGGTCCCATATGAGGAGAGGCTAAAGCGACTGGGACTTTTCAGTTTAGAAAAGAGGACACTAAGGAGGGATATGACAGAGGTCTATAAAATCATGAGTGGTGTGGAGGGGGTGAATAAAGAAAAGTTATTCATTAGTTCCCATAATGTAAGGACTAGAGGACACCAAATGAAATGAATGGGTAGCAGGTTTAAAACTAATGAGCGAAAGTTCTTCTTCACACAACGCATAGTCAACCTGTGGAACTCCTTGCCAGAGGAGGCTGTGAAGGCTAGGACTATAACAGAGTTTAAAGAGAAGCTAGATAATTTCATGGAGGTTAGGTCCATAAAAGGCTATTAGCCAGGGGATAAAATGGTGTCCCTGGCCTCTGTTTGTCAGGGGCTGGAGAGGGATGGCAGGAGACAAATTGCTTGATCATTGTCTTCGGTCCACCCCCTCTGGGGCACCTGGCACTGGCCACTGTTGGCAGACAGGCTACTGGGCTAGATGGACCTTTGGTCTGACCCAGTACGGCTGTTCTTATGTTCTTATGTTCAACCTAAACTTGCTCTTGTGAGTGATCTGTCATGTCATGGCCGAGGAGAAAAAGTTTTAGGGAATATCCTTTGTGTTTTTCCCTGTGCCCCATGTTTGTGCCTGCAAAATCCTCGGTAGGGATGTCACCAGAATAGCCCGGGATAAGTAAATATTTTAGAATATGCACGGGAACCAAACTTTAGATTTAGAATCTTGCCTTTTCCAGCCTGATATCCTGACTACATTCATCCAATCAGCATCCAGAAACGGACCACATGCCAATCAAAAGTTTTTCCTAATGATCAAAAGTTTTTCCTAATGTCCAACCTCAACCCCCCCCTGTGGGGGGCATGAAGAAACTCGAGGGGGGGGGTGTGAGATGACGCAGCCCTCCTCCCCCCGTCAATTCTCCCCCCTAAGTTTTGCTTTTTTTTTTGTTTTTTTGGCCTGGCCCTTTTTTCACACGTCTGATCTGGCAACCCTAGAGGCATGCAGCCTCCTTCCCAAGCCCCTCGTGGGTTATGAATGTCACACGCAGGACCAGGTGCTATTCCACCGGAGCGCCGGCGGCCTCTTCTGGCTGTCTGGGACTGTAGCAATTCTCAGAATGAATCCCAGCTCAGTTTCTCCATGTGTGGAATGGGGTTTCCCCTTCCCCAACTGGTGGGGAGGTGAAATTTGGTGATTCCTGCAACCAGGGAGTCGTTTTGAGCCCAGAGCTAACGAAGAATGGTTTGATGATGTGTAGCTCTGTCTATGGTACTTACACGGCCTGTTTTACTGAAGGCGCTAAGCATCTCCGGCTCCACGATGCATTTATCCTCACAACTCCCCCCGGGAGGTAGACTCATGCTCTTATCTCAGGTGTAACTGAGGCTTAGGGAACATGCCAAAGGCCACACAGGAAGTGTGTGGCAGAGCCAGGACACACATTCAGTCCTAGGGTCATGCCCTACTCAGTGTACTGCCTTTCCTACTGGCTCATACTTTTAGCACGTAGACATCCATCAACGATACAGTCAGAGAATTGGTTTTCTGCTCCCCAGATTTGATCTTGGATCAGCAAGAACCAAGCAGCGAGTATGATGAAAGCACGAGAGAAAGAATCCGCGATGCCCTCTTAAAAAAGCACCACCATCAGAATGAGAAGAAGAGGAACAACCTTCTTCCGATTGTCCGCTCTTTTACTGATGTCAGCAAGAAGCAGTCGGATCCGCACTTATTGGACAAACCAGGTGAGAAGTTTTGCCTTCAGATCACCCGACCCTTTGAGGTGGAATTTTCCAGAAGGTGTAAGTTACCAAAGAAGCAGAAATCCCAGCTGACTTATTCACCACTTTGCTGGAAAAAAAGCTGGCTTTTTAGCATCTTGGGCAGAGCTGGAAAGCTAAAGACATTTTGGTTTGCCAGTGGTGATGAAAAACCGAAAAAAACCATTTTGAGTTGACCGCAAAACAGAATATTTTGCAATTTTGGCAGATCAAAAAAGTTATAAAACATCCCCTCATTTCAGATCGGACAAAACACTGTTTCAATTTTAAGAATTTGAAAAATAATATTGAAGGAAATTTCTAAACTGCCTGTTGCCTCGACCCAAAATAATCAAAGTGTTTTATTTGAAAATGTCGAAATGAAACATTTCAGCTCATTTATCAAGATGCCTCAGAATAAGAAGACCTGTTGTAATGGGGATGCTGGGAAATTGGGAGGAAGTTTCTACAAGGTTTTTCTATTCTTTATTTCTCTTCCCCCTCCCCCTTCACGATGGGACCATGAGAGAAGGCGCAATTGTATTGGGCAGTTCCGGAGCTGTTGATATATTTGTGCGGGTGTCCTTGTAGCCAGTGGTAGCGGAGTGTGACTACTTAGCATTCATGCAAATGCGATGCTGATCAGTACGTCACAAATACCAATAGGTCAGCTGATGGGGGTGCAAAAGAGGACAGAGCCTCAGACCGCTCTGACAATCTGGTTGGCTCTAACAGCTGACTGCCTTTAGCCCCGCCCCTTCTGCCTGAGGCCCCTCCCCCTCCCGGGCCACGGAGCCAGCCCCTCCTTCCACCTTGCCCCAGGGTCTGCCGTGGCTGCCGGTCCCACTAAATCCCAGCGACTATCCCGCAGGAGAGTGTGTTTTCCACAAATGGTGCTAAGGAAACACATTTCCCTTTGCTTTTCAGCAACGCACATGCTGTCTCCGCACCCTGGCACGACCAATCTCGAAATTAAAAACGGAGTGACCCACGACACGAGTCCTATGGATTTAAGCAAGGTGAGAAGCGACGTGAGGCGGTGTCAGCCCAGGTAAAGGCAAGCGGTAGGCTCCATCTGAGGGGGCCAGAGGTTTCGAGAGCTCGGCATGCTGGGTGAAAAACTGGTCGGAAGTATCACAATGAGGGTGGGGGAGAAGTGGAGGTTAATACGATTTTTTAGCCAAAACGTTTGGGGGGAGGGGGCTGGAAAATAGATTTGGGTCATCGAAAACGTTTTATGTGTTGGTATTGAATGTGCTGAAATGGCTCAGTTGGAAAAAAAAATTCTGAAAAAAAAATTGGTTAGACATTTTCTGACTGAATCTTTTTGCTTAGAAACCACTTTTCCTTTTGAATGTTACCTCCGTCCCATCAAACAAACAAACAAACAAACAAACAAACCTTGTCTCTCCCCTCCCCCAAATGAAACAAAACATTTTTTTCGGGTCCAGCAAAATATTTCATTTAACCCCAAACAATTATTTCCCCCATTTTTTTCTGGTTTGGCCAGTGAACCAAAAATCGATTATTTGCACTGGTCTAGTGCTAGTGCTTTGACAAAGCTAGACCTTTTGGAGGGCCCTATTTGGGAGCTGAGCTTTTTTGAAAATCGGATCCTAGTTCTAGGTAATGAGAACTTGAAAATCCGTTCATGAGTTTTTATAACTTGGTTTTGCCCTTGGGTTGGGCCATAAAGGCTTAACCATCTGTCCACTGAACTCAGCCATTGACATGTGATGCTTATTTCACAAGACAGGTTGTACTGGAAGAGCTATACTGATCTAAATTCACTCAATATTAGAGCTGGGTGGTTTAAAAAACAAAACAGTAAATATGCCAAAACCGTTCCTTTTTTTCTGAGTGGTGAAACTCTTCACAAATTTGGGTTAAAGTTGACAAAGTTTTAACTGAAAAAAAAGATGTTTTTTCACACACACAAAAAAATCAAAAATCGAAATGCCTCAACATGTCCCAAAATGAAACAAAAATATCCTGAAAGACTGAATATCGTTGTGGGTTGAACAAAGCATTTTTGGATGAACCAAAATGAAATGAAAAAATTAATTTCAGATCAACCAAAAACATTTTCTTCAACTGAAATAATTGTTTTCAGGGGTTTTTTTTTTTTTGTTTCATTAAGAAAAATCACAAACATTCGTTTTTTGAGGGGCACAGAACTACATTTTGTTTAGGTTTATTTTTGGTTTGTGCTCTTAACCTGCTCCTCCCGCCCTCCCTGAACATAATATCAAATATTTGCTCATCTCTTTTCCTTAGATTGCACTGAAAAAACTTTCCCATGTAAACAAGTCCTAAAGAACTTTTATAATAGTGCTACTGCATCCATGCGGAATCGGTTTAACTATTTCAGTAGAAAAGCACCCCCCAACCAAAATAATTAACCCAATATAAAACCTGTGTAGAAAGCAGGACTTATCCATATGCAGCTACGTGGGGCACCTGAAAATTTGGGGGCATCACAGGGTCTTAATGTCCACCCATCTGTTTTTCTTCCTGTTCTGTTGTAGCTATGTAGTTTTATAACACTGTGGCTTTGCTTTCTCTGGAGAGGATCTAATTAACTTAACAGCCAGAGCTATTAGTAGAACATGGAACCTGTGAACGAGCCATTTGAGTGGCAAAGAAGTCACTTAACAGGCTTTTTCCAACCCCCGGTATATCCCATCAGTGTCTGAATTTACTGTCTTCAGAGGGTAGCTGAGTTAGTTTGTACGGGATAAGCTTAAAAAACAACAAATAGTCTGGTAGCACTTTAAAGACTAACAAAACATGTAGTGTCCTTCTGCTATGTATATTGGACAGACTTCTCAGACACTTCGCCAAAGAATTAATGCCCCCAAATCAGACATCAGACATCTTCACAAGGAAAAACCAGTTGCTTTTTATTTCAGCCTATCTGGATATAGTCTTAACGACCTTACTACATGCATCTTACTTCAAAGAGACTTTAATACCGGATTACAGAGGGAAACTTCCGAACTTTCTTTCATCCTTAAATTTGACACTTTACCAATGGGCCTTAACAAAGATGCTAATTACCTTAACCATTACAAAGATAGCTTCCCACTGATCACCCCTGATTGGCCATTCATTGACTCATATAGCTATTCCCTCCGTCCCTCACCCTACCTTCAGTACTAAATCTGATTTGCCAGTTTAATAATGTGTTCACTTTTTTCATTGTATTCCTTTGGTAGATATGGTCATGCCAATTCTCTTCCAGAATATGATCTGAGGAAGTGGGTCTGGCCCACAAAAGCTCATCACCTATTAAACCATCTTGTTAGTCTTTAAAGTGCTGCATAGTTTTTCGTAATGGTCTGGAAATAATTTCTTCCGCACCAGGCGGAACTTCATTTCATGAAGAAAATTCCGACCGGAGCAGAAGCGTCCAACGTTCTGGTGGGAGAGCTGGATTCCCTCCTTCGCCCCGTGGTGGCGTTTGTGCGTCTGACGCCAGCTGTCCTTCTCTCAGGCATGACGGAAGTCCCTATTCCAACGAGGTAAGGGCGTTAAAACCAGCTCACTTTTTAAAAATTAAGAATATGTTACAAATTAAATTCAAATGCGTGTGTGTGTGCGTGTGCTTGTGCGTGTGTGTGCGTGCATGTGCGTGTGAGTGTGCGTGCGTGTGCGTGTGTGTGTGCGTGTGTGTGCGTCTGCGTGTGTGTGTGTACACACGTACAAATCAGATAAAAACATTCTAGGGAAAGTCTGGCTGCACTCAGGACAGGTTTTCTCTTGTGCCTTTTATCACTTCATTGCAAAGGCACGAACATCAGAGCGGCCAGACTGGGTCAGACCAAAGATCCATCTAGACCAGTGTCCTGTCTTCGTACAGTGGCCAACGCCAGGTGCCCAGGGGGAATTAACGGAACAGGGAATCATCAAGTGATCCCTCTCCTGTCGCCCATTCCCATCCTCTGACAAACAGAAGCTAGGAACATCATCCCTGCTCATCCTGGCTAATAGCAATTCATGAACCTTTCTTCCTTGAATTTATCTAGCTCTTTTTTGAACCCCGTTAAAGTCCTAGTCACCACAACATTCGGTATTTGATCCGAATGAGTTCCACCCATCAGGTGAAGCAAAGTTTTTACAGAAGCAATACACTTAAAGGTGGAGCCCTGTGCGGATACAACATTTGGTTTCCCATCCACATCCACAAAAAGGATCCACATCCGCAGATGCGGATACCGCCGGTTATAAGTTGGGTATCCACATCCCCATCCCTGTCTGCCTCCGTATCCTCCGAAATGAGCCGCAGATCTCCACATCCGCCACTGCCGATCCCCGAGGCTATAAAGCAGAGAAGTGTGGATTTGCAGGGCTCTACGTAAAGGGGGAGGTTTTTAGAGGCAGTGCCTAACGCCCGTTGCAAGTCCATGACCGTGGTGGGCTAACGCCCATGAAAGCTGATTTACGGGGCAGATCCCTTTGGAAACGTCAGGATGTGCGTTTTCGCGCTTGGCCCCGGTTTTAATGAAGGCGGGTTTTTTTCTCTCCCTGTTTTCTCCGGCCAGGTTCTTATTTATCTTGCTGGGACCAGAAGGGAAAGCACATCAGTACCATGAGATTGGCAGATCCATGGCCACCATCATGACAGATGAGGTACAGTGTAGCACAAGTGACATTTTCAGCTCTTCTCCTTTGCATCCCCTTGTTTTCTGCCCACTCCTGAACCTTTCTCGCTCGCTCTCCCTCTCAGCCCAGGGTGGCGGCGGGTATCCTAGGCAAGGGAAGGCATTACCTTCCCAAACCACCATCCTGGCCCCGCCCACACTGCACCCCCAGGACACCTACTGTAGTTGAAGTGGGGGTGGAGTGTTGCTGGCCTTTCCCTTCCTCCCCATGCTCTGGAACAGGGGAAGCTGGGGTTGCCTGCTGCCCCGCCTCCCTGTGGTGCTCTGGGGGGGGGACACAGCCCTCCCTGTGCTCTGGGATCCAGGCTGGGGCTGACCCCCCTCCCATGGTGCTGGAGAAGGGCGGCTTGGCTCCCAGGGGTCAGGGCCTAGGAAGAAAGAGTCGGGCTGGGGCCTTGCCTCCCCCAGCCCTACCTTCACCCACTGCCCATGCAGCCCAGGGTTCCAGGACATGTACTGTCTGTTTCCAGACTGGTCAGATGAACAGGGCTGGATTAACGCAGGGGCATTAGGGGACCCCCCTCCCATGGTGCTGGAGAAGGGCGGCTTGGCTCCCAGGGGTCAGGGCCTAGGAAGAAAGAGTCGGGCTGGGGCCTTGCCTCCCCCAGCCCTACCTTCACCCACTGCCCATGCAGCCCAGGGTTCCAGGACATGTACTGTCTGTTTCCAGACTGGTCAGATGAACAGGGCTGGATTAACGCAGGGGCATTAGGGGCTGCAGCTCAGGGCCTCAGGCTAAGCCGGAGCCCCAGAAAAATTAATCTCTGGGCCACTAAAAGTCCAGTGACACTGTAGGGGTTAGGCCTGCATGCCCTGGCCTCACGCCACTCCCGGAAGTGGCTGGGGACCCCCTGCAGCTCCCATTGGCCGGGAACCTCTTCCCCCAGGCCTGAGCATGGTGGACTTTTAGCTGGACATCACAATCGTCTGGCAGAGGTTCCTGTGGATAAATGCCTCCCAGCCAGATCCTACCCCTCCTGCATCCCCAAACTCCCTCCTAGAAAGAAACTAACCTAACAGCTGTTCTAAGGAAGTAGGCTATTTCGAATTAACTTCACTATCTTCTACACGAAATGTAACCACAGAAAGGCTTTATGTTAGTTAAAAGGCAAGTTTAGCATAACGCTAATAGCCTCGATGCCCTAATTGTGAGCCTTTTGTTTCAAATTACAAAAAAGGTGGGATCCAGGGGCCTCACAAAATCTAATAGCCCCAGGCTTGCTGGAGAGTTAATTGGGCCCTGCAGATGAAGAATGGGAGCAGAAGGGGTGTATATTGTAGCTCTAGGGGAGTTTGTTCTCTTCCCCAGCAGCAGCCAAAGTCCACGTTTGCAAAATCGCGCAGCCCCCAGGTAGGCATCCAAACAAGCGTCTGGCTTTTCAGCAGCTCCGCAGAGGGGCCCCGATGGTGGGCAATGACGAAGCTGTCTGGAAATGTCCCATCACAGCTGGGTTTTGAGGGGAGGTTGCGATTTCAACCCAACAACGTGGAAAATGTTGCTTTTCTGTGTGTGTGGAAAAAGTAAATGCCTGAGCGTTGCAATGGTGTAGGCCCAAGTTGAACGATAGTCGCCAAACCCTGGAAGGTTTTGACTCTGAAATGACACTGCAGTGCCTCAGAGTCCTCATTGCTCACGTACCACATACTCCCATTCTCCGCTATGTGCAGCGTTCCCCAGTCAGACTTGTGCTTTGCCACATGGGAATTGTAGTTTAGTTTCCACATGCTCCCATTGCCCTGTACACACCAGGCCTTCTGGGCGGACTACATCTCCCATGATGCATCATGGCTAGTGATTGTCCAAGTAGGGAGGCCATGGTGCATTATGGGAAATGTAGTCTGCCCTGAAGGCCTGCTGTTAGTGATTGTCCAAGAGGGGAGGCCACGGTGCATTGTGGGAAATGTAGTCTGCCCTGAAGGCCTGCTGTTTACAGGGCAATGGGAGCGTGCGGTAACTAAACTACAATTCCCATGTGGCAAAGCTGTTGCATTTCAGAATCAAAATATTTTGATTTTCTGCTTTTCACTGAGCTCTTGCAATTTCCTGTGGGAATAAACCTCATTCTCTGACCAGCTCTAGTGATGAGCACATGACAGAGTCTGGCTCAAGCGAGGCAGTGTGATCTAGTGAATAAAGCATTTGACTGGAAGGCAGGTGATCTGATTTTTGTTTCCAGCTCTGTCTCTGACCTGTTGTGTGATGTAGATTCATAGGGTTAAGGGACTGCAAGGGTCATCTAGCCTAACCCTCACAGGGCAAGTCACACCATCGCTCTGTGCCTCAATTTCCCCTTCCCAAGTGGAACATCCCTTACTCTCTTCTTTGTAGGTTTTCCATGACGTTGCGTATAAAGCCAAAGACCGTGCTGACCTTGTAGCTGGCATTGATGAATTCCTGGATCAGGTGACAGTATTACCTCCTGGAGAATGGGATCCATCGATTAGAATTGAGCCACCAAAAAATGTGCCTTCTCAGGTAGGTCACATTTTTCACTTCGAGCGGTCTGTCGTATTGGATAAAGCTCAGGACTGGGCCGCGAGACCTGGGTTGTATTTGTGGAGCTGCAGTTGTCACTCACACTTGGGGCAAGTCGCTTCGTCGCTCCCTGCCTCAGTTTCCCCATCTCTGAAATGGGGCTATCACACTTCTCTGGCTCACAGAGGGCTTGGGAGGATAAAGGCATTAAAGACACAGAGAGATGTAGATCCGCCATATAAGTACTTGGCTCGATAGCTCAGGTGGCCAGGCCGGATTCAGAGAGAGGGGCCGGGGCGGGTAGAACTCTGCATCAGAGACCCTCAGCCCTGGGCGACACATAAGGGAACACGAAGGGTCATTTGCCCCCCAAATGACATGGGGGGATGGAGCCAGGGGCCATCCGTTGGTGGGCAGAGCCATCCTATCCTACGGACGGTTCATCCAACTGCCCTGGGCCCCACACTTTGGGGGGCCCCACAGAGATCAGGGGACATGCTGACAGTAGGAGTTACCCCCCGCATTCACCAGTGGCGGTAGGGGGAAGCTTTCTGCTGCTGGTGAGTAGGGAGGGCAGCCTCTCCCCCCAAGTCCTGTGGCCCTGGGGGCTAGTGGGGGGGCCTGGCAGTGGTGGTAGGGTTGCCCCCCCACACACACACCGGTGGCAGCAGGAAGTGGAGTGACCTTACTCCATCCTGTCTGCTCCCTCCACCACTGCCCAAGAGTGCAAGGGGGTGATCCCTGCTGCCGGCACCAGCTGCCCCCACTAGTCCCAGTGGGATGGAGCAGGGGGAGGGGGGGGCCCTCCTGTGGGCTAGGAGTGGTGTGGGGAGGAGTCACGCGAGGGGGTGGTAATACGGCCAGTGTTTTCCCCCTCCCCATCCCGATCCCTCCCCAGACCCACAATGATGAGAACCGCTGGCTTTGACCCAAGCCTGCAAATATTTGCGCAAAGAGGTGGATTAGGGTACCGTGGGGCCCGGGGCATGAGCCAGTATGGGCCCCTCCCCATCCCATTGGCCTAGGGGCTAATCCGCCACTGCTTACGCATGAATATTCATTTGTGTGTGTAATGCCCTTGACGGCGTAAAATAAGCAGCAGGTCTCAGTGCTTGCAAGCACAAAGCCTCGTGGTAGCATACAGGAATTGGGTAGCCTTTCTGTTACGACGGAAGCCACCAGAACCCACCACGGAAGCATATACATATGTAGCTAAGCACAGGCTTCAAAACGTGGATCAGACACAAGGGAAGCAAACACTGCTAAGATCTCTCTCTTGGGTTTCTGGTTCTGTAGAAGAAGAGGAAGATGCCAAGTGTTCCTAATGGCACTGCTTGCCATGCCGAACCCGAGCAGCACAGCGGACCCGAACTGGAAAGAACGGGAAGGTTTGTACGACTAGATTTCACATTCGTCTTCAAGTCCACCCCAGAGCTTTGCAAAGGATGGATTTGTTTCATTGCTTGGTTGCGTGTTTGTAAAGTACCTACTAGAACAGGGGTGACGTGCTGAGATAATACAAAGAAATACGAATACTTTTTATAAAAGTCAGGGCCAAAAAAAAAAGTTTCAAGTGGACCCCAAACCTTTTCTTTTTTTGCCAGACTTGGTTGGCAAATAGAAAAGCCTCAAAAGTGTTTTTTTGTTTAGCTTGGAGCCATTTTTTTTATGTTTGAATTTCTTAAAAATAAAAGCGAAGGAAATTTCTAAAGAAAAAGTCATTTTCAGTTGACAAATCAAACTATTTTGTTCCGAAAATGGGCATATGGTGGGAGGGGGAAAACAGATCTACAGAAGTCAATACTTGTCCTTTGACCACTCTAAAATTGAGAGGTGGATTATAATTAGTAATTAGTTACGAGAGAAGATGTCCGGTAGATGGTTCTCCAGTCTAGGTAGAGTTGTTCCTGGATTTTGTGGGGCCAGTCAAACTTGTTGTGTAACTCAGTGGAGCTCTTAATAAACACAAACAACAAGCATGGTTGAAGAGAGGGGTCGCCGTGTGAGTCTATAACTTTAAAAACAATGAGGGGTCCTATGGTACTTTAGCGTGTGTCTAGACTACAGGGTTTTTTCGAAAAAAGTGGCCTGTTTTCGAAAAAACTTCCCCTGCATCCAGACTGCCACCGCGTTCTTTCTAAATTAAATCAAAAGAACGCGGAGGTTTTTTTTGACTGTGGTTAACCTCATTTTACGAGGAAGAATGCCTTTTTTCGAAAGTGCTCTTTGGAAAACAGGCGTTCTTGAATGCAAACAGGGCTTTTTCGAAAGAGAGCTTCCTGACTGCCTAGGTGCTCTCTTTTGAAAAAGCAGCTCGCTTCTTCGAAAGAAGGGGTTGCAGTCTAAACGCTCTCTTTCGAAAGAGGCTTGTAACCTAGATGGAGCCTTAGAGACTAACAAAAATACATAGAATTGGGAGCTTTCGTGGGCAAAACTCATGTCATCAGATGAGCTGGAGTGGAAATAACAGAATCCAAGATATATATAAAATGGAGAAGAAGTATCCGTCAATTGTAGGACCCATGTTAATGAGGCTAATTAAGTGGGCTGGATGTGTCCTATTCATAGCTCTTGATATGAAAATGCGGATTTCTGCAAAGGAATTTCACCATTCAATTACAGAGAGAGACTGCACAACTTGGAATTCATCTACAAATTTAACACTGTTACCCAGGGCTTGAATAAAGATATTCACTGGTTAACACAATACAAAGCCAATTTCCCCTGCTGTTGACATCCGCCTTTTCACCTCAGAAGCTGCGGCCCTAGCTCTTACCATGTAGGAGTTCTTGAACAGACAGACTCACAGACACACAGACAGACACACAAGGGCTCTCAAATGTATAGTAGATCACTGGAACTCCTAATTATTATTGGCTTTTGTGTCACTGTACCGGCTAGGAGCCTTAGTCATGCTTGGTCCTGTACACGGGTGTATAAAAAAGATTTTGAATGTACCGTTCGGATGCTCAGTAACAGAAAAATTAAAACACAGCAGCCATGGGTGGAACACTAGACTGCAACCAGTGAGACCTGGGTTCTGATTGGTGACCCCAGGCAAGTCACGTCCCCTCCCTGTGCCTCAGTTTCCCCATCTGTAAAATGGCCCTTCCTAGGCGTAGGGAGGCTCTCCACAGAGAATTTATAGTACAGCATTGCTTGGGTCTCTGTTTAAAAATGAAAATCTCCCATTGTGGTTCCCAGCGGGGAGGAAAACCTCTCCCTGTTCCTTTTCTTTCTGCAGGCTCTTTGGTGGTTTGATCCTGGATGTGAAACGGAAGGCGCCGTGGTTCTGGAGTGACTTCACGGACGCTCTGAGCTTGCAGTGCCTGGCGTCGTTCCTTTTCCTCTACTGTGCCTGCATGTCCCCCGTGATCACCTTCGGGGGGCTGCTTGGGGAAGCGACCAACGGACAAATAGTAAGAAGATGTTGGCTTTCTGCAGGCTCTTTGGTGGTTTGATCCTGGATGTGAAACGGAAGGCGCCGTGGTTCTGGAGTGACTTCACGGACGCTCTGAGCTTGCAGTGCCTGGCGTCGTTCCTTTTCCTCTACTGTGCCTGCATGTCCCCCGTGATCACCTTCGGGGGGCTGCTTGGGGAAGCGACCAACGGACAAATAGTAAGAAGATGTTGGTCGCGAATGTTGCCCAAGAGAACGAGCCCCCCAGACCACAGCACTGCCCGCCCTGCCCCCCCGGCCCCA